GATTCCAAGATGATAATTGTATTAATGAATGATATAAAAAGACAAAGCCTTATAAGAAGATTCCTATCATAACCATGCTAGAAAACAATATTCCTTATTAGGAATATTAAATAAAATAGAATAAGATTAGTAATATAAGAAGAATAATAATAAATCACTTCATTAATAATAATAATAATAATACTTAGATATCTGTAGCATCACTCCCTTCCTTGAAATTGAACTTGTCCGCCCGCTCAAGTGCAGATTCCAACAGGGCTAACCTGTCTCATGGTTTATGTCTACCACATACTTGTCCTGGAGGCAAATGAAGAACTTATTGTATTTGTGTGTCATAGTGGATTGCTCATCACAGTACAAAGTCTCCGAGCATGTCGATCCACGTTTGTTCACTAGACACGCTTCGAACAATGGGGTTACCAGTCTTGGTGGTTGCAAGTCTTGCCCAGTGCCTACGGTCATTTCCAGTGGACTCGCGTGAAACAGCGAGGTTGCCACCAACGGGGCACAAAGTGGTTCGTTGGCAAGTGTATGGGCCAAGTTTATGGCATAGCCCAAGTTATGTGGTTTGGCCAATTGAAAATCCACTCAGATTGATAGATCTAGGCCAGCAATGAAAGGGGTTTGTTGATGCTGAGGTTGAACACCTGTTGTCCGAGCCAAGGCTATCTGATATTGTGTGCAATATTCCTCCACCATCCATGTTTGCATTAACAACTACAGTTCCCCCACTTGTTGATGATCCTTTATGTACTACGATAGTAATATGATCCTCCATTCGTATGCAGCTTTTTACATTTAGTTTATACTCCCTCCATCCATTTATTTTCTTCCCTCTTTGTTTGGGCACGGATGTTAAGAAAAAATGAAATTTATGTTGACGTTTCCATAATACCCCCCCCCCTCCTTTTCTGTCTCTTAATAGTGGTTCTGTGGCTTCCACATCACTTCCATCCTCCGCCACCAACAAATGTTTGATGGAAGATCTGATCGTTTATGGTAACATTCCTGATTGCCTCTGCTGAAACTCCAGGATTGAACTCGATAACACTTTCCACCAACAAAAATGGATAGCTATAAAACCGAAGCTCCAGATTAATAACCAAATCTATCAGTAATGACCATCCAATGAAAGATTGAATTTTTGTTTATCAAAATGAAAAATAGAGTATGCTTTTGAAGAACATGAGAGTAAGTAGAATATGGGTGAAGAAAGAGAGAGCTACTTATTATAGTCATAGTGTGCGATCTGATTGAAAAGTGCTGAGCTATACTCCCTTGCAGATCTGTGCGAAATTTGGACAGCAGACTGAAATACTCTCCTGCATATCTGCACTTGAATGTTCAGGATATAACATATCCGTCCTCTAAGCTTTGAATCTGCGCTTGAGAAGTAAATTCATGGACCTTGGGGCAGAAGCGGCTGGGTTGTATCATTTTGGGGCAGAGGCGGCTCTGTCCGCCACGGGAAGACATTTCTCTTCGATTAAGAAGAAAAAGAAGAAGAGGAGGAGAAGAGAAAGAAGAAAGGGGAGGGGGGCATATTCAATTAAGCAATTTGGATGAAAGAACTGTAAAAGATGAGTTGGAGCCTTGGGGGTAGTTATGACATTTCATATAATAAAGTTTGCCGAAAAAGGAAATGGGAAAAAAAATTTGGACAACCCAAAATAGAAAGTGGTAAGAAAACTTATGGACGGATGGAGTAACCTACTTAGTTACAAAGTTTCATAGAAAAATACACAAACACACACACACAGATATATATATATATATATATATATATATATATATATATATATATAATCTGTGTGTGTGTAATCATTGAATATAAAACTTTGTGAAAATATCAAGTATTAAATTTTCACAAATCAAATATTATTAAAAGTGCATAAAAGTTTGTGTGTATAAACTACTTTTTCAGATACAAATTTTAGCATATAATTAATGGATATAACTAAATTTCAAAAAATAGATATGTAAACATAATATTCTAAGCGGATATACAAGTCTGGTATCTAACTATCATATACGTATCCACCATTTATAATCCGATACAACATTAGAATACGAATAATATCCGGTTCAAATGCGTAAGGATAATACCACATGTAAACAAGGATGGTGACTCTAATCGGATGTTCAGCTACCCATTTACAACCCTAGCTGTGGCTGAGGAAACAGAGATCTAGTGGTCACCGACAAGACTTAGCGTAGTAGAAATCGGTGACAAGATAAAGTAAACACTATCATACCTCTATTCATGGCAGTTGCCTAGCTAGCAAAAGTCAAAACATCAAAATAATATGGAAAAATTGGCTCTAGTTGAAGAACCTAAGAAAAAGCTTTGGAATTAACCTGCCAAACCATCTAAGGAAACCAATGAAGAATATCTGTGAAATAAGAAGTCAAATCATAACACATAGCATTGGCTCAAAGTTATAAATGGTGAAATGATGTTAATTTTTGTCTGTTAATAATATATACATGTGTGTGTGTGTGTGCATCTGAACTCAATGCATGGTATTAGTACTCATTCTACTTACGGTATAAACCTATTAGAGAGATTGCGAGAAAAAAATGTTTGCCTCATCTTAATCTCCTATACGACTTTCCCTTTTGTAGCCAGTCCAAATTCCAAAGTTTGGATAAAATACCCCGGGGTAGTACATTTCTATACCACCTTTGGACTACCAAATGTGATCGTAATCTCCCTAGTCGTGTGTGCTCGTGCACACGTGTTGAAGCCAACCTACTAAGGCACACCTTAAAGTTTGGCAAAGAGTGCAAAAATTTCTAATTCATTAAGAGTATTAACGCCGCGCTTCAATGATTTAACCAAGGTTTAAAGGCGAACTACGCCCTTGAGGCAGTAGATCACTTGGCTAGTTGGCCATGAGGCATAAGCCTCAAGGCCAAACGAGGAGTAAGCGTCAATCTAATTTGAAAAAAAATAAATAAATAAGTACTCTGGGGTGAAACAAAATGCCTAACTCATAAGCACAACAACCACAACTGAGTAAAATCCCACAAAGAGTAGAGGATGTGTCAAAAAGACCCCAGACTCAAAAAGGAGTACCAGCAAACAAACTAGAATACGCTAATGAAGTACTACCAAAGAAAGAAGGGGAGAAAAAGAACTAAAAACCGACTAAAATCAAAGCACACAAGCACAAACAACAAACTAAAATATAAAGACACACCAGCCAAAAGTACGAACTAGGGTTACCAGATCTACCCAACTACCATAATCCTAAATCTCTAGGCATTTCCATCTAAGGTCAAATCCTCGGTGAGATCAAGGAGTCGTACATCATGCCTAATTCATAAACATGTCAAATAAAAGTCATAAAAGCATACATATTTGTTATTTAAAACAAAGAATCTGGTATAATCCCAACTCTAGTGGAGTAAAGTTGTATGTAGACTTTAGAGCATGTCTTCTTCAACTTATTCTTATTACTCATTCCTATTGGAATCAGATTAGAAGATCAGACCAATTAAATCATATCAGAAGCAGCTTTAAATATAACTTGAATCAGACCGGCCCATAATAAAATCATATCACATCCAATCAGCTCAGACAAAGAGATTAGACTCTAACACTCTTACCCTTGTAAAAACAGAGATGATGTTTCAGTTAAACCCTAGATGCATTTCTGCATGTAGTGTCCAAAACATCATACAAAGTAAGAAGCAAGGGAAGTTTTAATGTGCCTTTTTTTATTTACTCTATTTTGTGCTCGAAGCTAACTTTTAGCTCAATTAGCAATGGACGGAGTTATTCAAAACAAAAAATGGCAAAACAGATAATCATGATTCATGATAAGCATTTTAAAACTAAAATTCTAATTTTCCAACTGCTCAAATCTAAAATATATATAACCTCAAAAAAATTAATTTTAATTTTAAAAATAGAACAAAACAAATTTCAATAGTTGTGAACTATCTAAATAACATAACAAATCTCAAAGAGATTCAATACAGATGGAAGGAGAGCGAGGGGAAGGAGGGGGGGAAGAGATGCAAAAAATAAGAAGAAAAGATATGGTTGTTGTTTGTTGGCTTGTTGCACTAATCAAAGTGATTACAAGTTGAAAGAAAAAGATGAAGCAATTACATTAGTTGTCGCGGAGGCATATGATTAAATGTTGGCAGATGGAGGGACGAAGGTCACAGTTAAGACAAGCTATTATCGATATAGTTTTATTTTTTATCAATGTACTAGATTTATAAAGGACAATAATAAGGCAAAATAAATAATGCAAACCTTCATGCTTGATAGCTTTTGAAAAAAACATTGCACTTATGAATTTCTCATTAAAACTGAGGCTTGCCCCACGCCTTATAAGCATGGGGTGTAAACCTCAACTATCAAGAATGAGGCTTAAGCCTCTAAGCCTTAAAAGCATCGCCTTGGTGCCTCAAACGCCTTTGAAAAACATGGATTTAACTGGATCATGAAATGTAGGAAAGAAGTGGCCTTGTTCTTGAAAATAAACCTACGCAAGGCATGACCCAAAATTCTGGTTTTGGAAGTGAGTATAAGTATCTAGCACCACATCACAAACAATACATTATGATACAGTCAACAAAAGGTTAAAAACAGAAGTGTTGAACCCAACAACAGCCAAGATAGTCCCACACTCCAACGAATGGGGTCTGGGGGGTGGGTATTGTGTCAATACTATTAACCTTGCCTTTGCCTTTAAAAGGAAAAGAGGTTTCCGAAAGATCGCCGGCTCATAATAGAAGTACTGCGCCCACAAAATAAATACAAGCTTGCGCCTAAAAAAAGTTGACATGTCATTTTTGTTATGAATATCAGTATAGCATCTTACCAGTACAGCAGCTTGTCTCTCACGAGCCTTAGCCTTGCGCTTGTCACTATCTGAGAGTGATCCTAAACCATTGGCATCACCATAAGGAAAAGACTGCAAGAACTGATTGGTTAGTCCAGGTGAAAGGCTTTGGAGTTTGGTCATGCATCCAGGTTCTAATTCCACAATCTTTTTTAGCAAACTCTCAACCAAAAATGAAAGATTTAGGGTGACAGTTTCCACATAATCATTCCCTCCCTGGTATTTCCTCATCAGTAAAACAAGAAGAGACAGCAAGCTCTGGTCACCATATTTACTTATTGAAACTTCTTCACAAGCATGTGCCAAAAGGGGAACCACATCACCCTCATTACAAGGATTGTTATAAGACTCCTTGAGTGCATAAAAAATGTCCAATGCTAGCGACAGTAAATGCAGCGCAGTTATAAGAACATCATCAGGAGCACGTGACCCATTTGATTTATTTGGAAAAACAGCATAAATTAGACATGCACGGATAATTTGGAGGGTTGTCCTACAAGTGGCTACTCTGGCAATCCCTCCAAGAGGAGGATATATCTTTGTCCATTTCGGTAGCTGAGTGATTAGAGCAGATGCATTACAGAACTGCATAAACCGTTCTTCTGCAACTTGCAAGTCTCTTGACTTCCAGCGAGGATGATACAAATCAAGTTCCTTCCAATATGGCAACCGCAGTTTATACATTCCCTGCAACACACAAGACATCAGGAAACAGTTATTCCGAACATTCAGAAACAATAATCAAACCTTTCTAATGTGATAATCAAAAGTAAATTCAGAATCGAAACAAACCTGATTTGTGCTAGAGGGATTAGAATGCACAGCTATTGAATCTAAAACTTCCTGAAGTTTATCAATCTTTGATAGATCACGAGGAAGAGACTTCACCAATTGACTGCGAGGAGCATCTCCAGTCGATAGCCGATATATCAAATCTCTTTGTAAACATTCTATGTTAGTTAACCCACAGAACCGGCGCTCTTTCACTATTTGTATAATAAGGATCAGCATTTCTCGCACCAAAGTTGACTCGTACCTGAGATGTTTAATTAGAACAAATGAGATCTCAAAAATTGCCTCAATAACAAGAAGACAATAACAAATTAATCATGAAAGAAAAAAGAAGAAAGTAGCTGAGAAGCACATATAAATACATTTTGGCCTTCCAATGTCACAAAAACTAAAGTGCTTGATCCAATCATGCTCAGCATGCCATAGATTCATCTCCTACTTATTACAGATCAATCTGAGCATGTTGCGAGAGGCGAGCCGAGGACCTTTTTTGAGGCGAGAGAATCCATCCATCCATACATACATATTTTTGTGTATGTGTGTGGGAAATTGTAAAGTTACACCAACAAAAATGACACCACTTTGTGACACCAATTCAATTGGGGCAGCTACGATGCTCTGATCGTAAAACTGAATGTTTCAACCTCTCCTAAACACCTCCCTAAACATTTCTCTCATGTTTTCCTGCTCCAGCAAACCCCCCCACCCCCCGGATTTCCAATTTGGGAAAATCTAACATTGCAATCGGAGCACCATACGTGCCTCAATTGAATTAGTGTCACAATGTTACACCAGTTGGACTGGTGTAACATTACAAGCCCTACATAAATAAATAAATAAATAAATAAATAAATAAATAAATAAATAAATAAATAAATAAATAAATAAATAAATAAATAAATAAATATTTATATATGTGTGTGTGTGTGTGTGCATATCGGTCTAATTGGATTCGGGATATTAGATGGCAGTAATCTTGGAATGCATCCGTTCAAGAATGAATGTGCACAAGCCACTTTCCAGCATCTATGGAAGACCTCGAGCGGTGCAGAAAAGTATCAGATTGTGTTCAACCTCCATCAAATTACTATTAAGTGTAGTGTATTTTGGCATCTTTTATCATTAAAACTATGAGGAAGTTCTCAAAATAGTATTTTTCTAATTAAATGTTTTCCCAAATCATCATTATGAGATTATAATTATGAAATCGCCCAATTGTCGGAGGGCTATTGTGGGGAAAAAATCTTAATTCTAAAGTATCATGTAGGTAATTATTGTTTATCGAAGACTATTGAGGGAAAATATCTCGATTATGAAGTACAATATCAGTAATTATTGCTTGTTGAGGACCGATTCGGAAAAACGCCTTATTAGAAAGGACCATTTTGAGAATTCACTCAAAAATAAGTCGGAATAGAAAAACCATTAACAAAGGTATAATTGAAATTCAAGAGTAAAGTCCCCATTCATAAGCAGAAGAGAAGAAATGTATTACGTACTCACTAGAATGTTCAAAATTCAATTGGAGGTATTCTGATAGCTCAAAACGTTCTAAAACTCTCTTGATAAAAAGATCAGCAGGAGCAAGGGATGCACAACACTGAAGCATAAAGAGATCAAGTTCTAAACTTTGTTCAGACCTGCATACAAAAGCAAGATATGAGTGACAAAGCAATAAAAGTTAACTCGAATTTATAATTTAAAAAAAAAAGAAAAAGAAGAGAGCATGAGAGAAAAATGTTAGTACTTCAAGGTATGCAAACATATCAATGATCAAAAACAAATTGCGTACCATCGATCAGAACGGTACCATTCATATGATAGTATAGCCGCATCACCATTCTTACGCCACATTCCAGCGTGTACCTGAGCACCGAACACCCTAATCCGGAGAGGATGCTCCATAGCAAGGACTGAGAATCCATGTGGATGGCAGCCTCCCAAAACATAGCCAAAAAATTGCTGATCTGTAGGGAATGATGAAACAGCACTTTCACCAAAACATTTTCTTAATGCCCTCTGTATAATCTTTGAAAGTAGCCGGTGCAATGGAATGTGAACAGATATATCTTGCTTACTAACAGCATATGTAATATCCTGCCAATTAGACAAACTTAGCACACGGAGGGCTTCTAAATCGGGGGTAGAATCTCCTTGTATGCTGTCATTAGAACCATCACTGGCAATTTCAAGGTCAAGACTTTGACCAGAATCCAAGTTATCACAGCCACTGCGAGAAATATGTTTAGATGTAGCTTTATTTTCCGCTAATGGAGGATTGTACAATTCAAAAGCAGTTCTTCCTCTTCTAAGATTAGATATTGTTCTCTTCAATATAAAAAGATTATTTCCAGAGCGAGGACCAGTGTTGTGAGATAGGAGATAGAGAAGATGTCCCGATGCATCATCTACTCCCAGCCAGTTTTCCATAGCCCTTAAACACTCGAAAGCCAACGATAAGACAGATGGTGAAAATGGGGAATTATCAATTTTTATTTCAGTGGCCTTAGACACATAGTCAAATGAGCTACGACTGGTCACACTAGTGACTGAACTTTCTTCTGATAACCTTCCAAGTTTTGCATGCCTGTGGCTATCATTCTCTTCAAAATCTTGTCTACATGAGTTAACCAAATTATTCTCTTCAGTCTCATTACATGTGGAGAATGCACCAGCCACTAGAAGAGAGTGAATGCATGCAATAGAATGACCCACCACAAACGGTAAAGTTATATTATCATTTTCCACTTCCACGTGAGTTCCAGTTTCTCTTTTTTGAGGGTTCATTCCTTGCATGAAGGATAACAGTTTCATCCATATTCTTAGTATATCTTGCCTATCACGAATAACATATTTGGGTACAACAGAATGACTCATGACAAATCGGATATCTTCAATCACGCGAAGAGTAATATTAAACAACTGCTCCCATCTCTCAACCTGCAAATTATGGATTAGGTGAAATTTCCATCTGTAAAATTACTTATAGGTTCGCCTAAATACACGAATATGTGTTGAAGATTAATTGATAAGAATTAAGATAACCTAAATATAGAGCACCAATACGATAGGTCCTTCATGAAACAATATAATTTGAACGGTGTCTTCGATTAGTCCTTTGAATTTTTAACTGGTTGTATATAATATTTGGTACCTTTCCCCCTACCTAAAACTAAACAGCAATTCCATGTTGGGTACTAGGTTACGATGTCACAAGGAAATCTCTGCTACAACGGAAAGCAGTGTGTTGAGTTAAGTGCAAGTTAAGACTCATCCAAGGACAAATGAAACAAATTATGATTTTAGATATAGGTACACATACATGAAATACAAAAAGCAATTGCGAAGTTGAGATATTAAAACTTTACTGAATAAACAGATATTGTGCAAAACAGATCTTCCTTATGGTACTTAACGCTCATTGCAATACCTGCAATTGACCATTTTCTCCCGAGCAAGAAACAAATATGTCTTCTAAACATCCCAACAGCATAGCCAAAAGATCAAATTCCTTCACAAGGCGTGGGGTTAGAGTAGGCACTGTAAGTATCTGCACAGAAAATGTACATAGTAGCGGATACTTTTTTAAAACTGTATCAGTAGTATCTTTAATGGCTTCGCTGACTACAGTTGGATAATATCTGAGAAACTCTTTTGCAAACTCGTATTTAAATCGAGGTTCACCCAACAGCTTCAGTAATAACTCATGGTGCTTTCTGACAGTCTCCTCGTCACTGATGAGTCTCTCTGCTCTCACTAGAACTTCCAGTAAACCAGCTGAAGACAACACCTTCTGAGAAATAAAACTAAGTAAACTCTCACTCGAGTTGCAGAATTCCAAGAGCATCTCAACCACAACACACGTCAGCCCCTCTGCAATTCTTTTAAAATCTGGTGTGTGATTATTGACTTCAGGACTTAGAGTTGAAATAGTTTCTCCAAACAGCAGCCTTTTTCCCCAATGTGACAATAAAGCATCCAGGACAGGACCCAAAGAGTTTGCATAATTATCAGGAAGTGGCTGTATCTGCTCAACGCCTCTATGCTCGGAGCAGAAACCCTCACGTTTCCATGCAGTGACATCCCCACAATCACAGCAACCACCACCAGTATATATAATAGAATAGTCATGGTCATTGTGGTTACCATTGAGGAAACAAGGTACACAAATTGCACATGTAGGATCATGCTCGCATGTCCGGCAACGATACGCAATATCGTTGTTTCCCCAAATGGCTCCACAAACACCGCGTTGACCAAGATTTAAACTAGCTAGGTGTTCTAGTGCAGTGCATGGATCACCCTCAAACATCAGCCATAGTAACCAGAGAATACTTTCGTGAAATAAATTTTCAACACCTGAGCCACCATTTGCTATGGGAGATTCTACTAGAGTTTCATTACCAGCCTCGACTGCATCATCATTGCTGGGCAAGATGGCAAAGACAACCTCAGGGATTTGAGACTTATTATTCTTTACATAATCAACTAGTCCAGGCTGAAGCCGTTCCAAGTTCTCCATGGGAACTCCAAGGGAATCAAGCCTCTGATAACAATACAAGAGAGATCACAAGTCATTGAAATCTCCAAAAAAAATATTCAACCGTAATAATCTAGGTGATGAATGGTACATTGACAGAGCAGATAACAATTGCCAATCACTGCTTCTCAATCCCATTCTCTCAATACAAAAAAAAACAAGAACATCACCAGTATACACATTTGGGTTAGAAGAATACACAAGCAAACTGCATATCATGAAGCAAAGTCAGCTTCTAGGACTAGGAGCCCGAGCCTAAAGAGGCAACTCTCTTGGAGGTTCAAAAAAAACTCTCAATACAAACAAAATAAGAACATCACCAGCATACACCATTAGGGATAAGAGAATACACAAGCACACTTCCTATCACGAAACAAACTCTCTGCTTCTAGGAGCCCAAGCCTAACTAATTAGAGGCTAAAGGGCAACTATCCGAGGACAAGAACTTGAGAGTTCAGAAAATTAAAAATACAGTTTGTGTGTGCGTGTGTGTGCATATATATATATATATATATATATATATATATATATATATATATATATATATATATAAAATGTGGGAGACGAGTTTTTAGATAGATCTCATTTAGAAGTAGTTGTGTGTTGACTTGTATCTAGGGATTTTAGGGCTGTAAACGGAATATATCCGTGATGGATATGACATATCCGAATCCAAATCCAATTAAGTTTTGAGATATTTGAATTCGTATCGGACGGATATTTACATTTCTATATTTGAATCCATAACCAACGGATAATTCCCAATTTCGGATATATCCGGATCTGAATACATATCTTAAACCAACCAAATATCCGAATCTGACCGAATATCAATGTGTTCAAACCCAGAAATAAAAATGTAAGATAGGGGCGGAGGGATTCAAACCCAACACCTCCGACCTTAAAATTCAAAGTTGTAGCCATCTGGGCTAAACCAAACGCTTGGAATTTGTAAGCAGTATTTGTTTCTTAATACAGCCGTGTTTACATTTTTTTTAACAAAATAACCTACATCTAATATTTTTTTCAGTAAATAAACTTCATATTAATTATATATATAGGCATAGTTATGTTATGGGATAATATTTTATTATATTTAAAAGTAGTTCAAAAAACTTTGCAATTTTTTTTATTTAAACATAAATATGAATATTTTGTACAAAGTTATGGGTCATTGACATAAGTCAACCTGGTTCGACCGGTTGACCCTTGACCCAGTTGCTAGCTCGGTTCGATGTTCGATCCGGTTTTTAGAACATTGCCGAATATCTGAAACTCTTAATAAAAAATTTAAATGATTATAAAAGGAATGTGAAAGTGAATATCGAAATCCATAATATTGAACAACGTCGAATACGTAAAAAAACTATTGTCTAAATAGTAAATACTTAACCAAAACAAATGATTCGAACAAAATTATAAATTCATAATTGAACAAGTACTTTATGGAAGTAATGGTAAGACACTAAGGTAGGATAAGGATAATTTTTGGATATAAGGCCCAAGTATAAATGTATAATGGGATGGCTAGAGGATTATATTTATTAAAATAATTTTAGTTTGGTACTCGGATAAACGGATATTCGGATAAACGTCTATTTAAATGGATGTATATCTGGATTGGATTTTAAACGGATTGGATATAGAATTACCAAATTCATATCCGTTTAGTATTCGGATACATATAATATTTTAAAACAAATCCGGATTATTCCCGTTTAAAGGATACGGATGCGGACGGTAATCGGATTTTTGGTTATCCATTGACAGCCCTACGTGTATTACTGATTGATAAGGAAATGGTTGGATAACTTTATAAAGATTCAACAAGTATCTATACCTCTAAAACAACTATACTGGCAATAATTATATTTATTTCAAATGGGAAAATCTCATGATGAGACGATCTGATAAATGGTAATGAACCAGTAGTATTCTAACCAAAATGTGTATTGGTTTTCATCTCCCTTTGGCATTAGCTTCCATGTTTAGCTTTAATGTTTTGAAAGTCCAATCCAAGTATAATTTTAGTGTTAGCATTTTCAACTTTAATCTACACCATCAAAAAATTATCCAATAATAATGTTAATCACAATTTTTTTTCCCAAAAGAAGCCTTCATCTCCAGAATTAAACAAGTACAACGCGCATTGGTGAATAGCACTCAGTATTGATATTCATCATTTGTGAGCTGTAGTTATTTGTTTCAAACTTAATGGATTGATTTCTATCACCATGAGAAATCTCCAGTTTTTTAGTTCAACTCTCAAAGCGGACACAATTCTACAATCAAAATATTCCCCAAAACAATCATCCCAAAAAATAATAATATGGATTATAATGACATCGAGAGTATTGTAGAAGCAGTACCTCAATAATACGTAACCGAGCAGGAAGATTGTCATCGGGGGTCAGCGGTGGAGGAGAATCGCTCTCCATTCTCGGGATCACCCTAATCCAGCAGGTGACAAAGTTACAGCAGTGTAAGACTCGAGAGATTTCACTCTGGAGCGTTGAATCACACGACCCACATTGCTGCTTTGCGCAGGCTTCGAATAGCGGATCCAAATAGAACCACAGGGTTCGGGCCAGTTATGACGGGGTCTAAAGTAGTACGGAGTATTTTAAAAAGAGCAATCGCTAGGTGGTGTACCACATTTGTCCCCACTCCTTTCTCCACCACTCAATTTTATTTTATTTTTATTTATTTGATTTTTTTAGTTACTTTCTTCACCACTCAATTTTATTTTATTTTTATTTATTTGATTTTTTTAGTCACTTATCTTTTTTGTGGTTATGGAAGGGGTGGGGGACAAATGGGGTACACCTTGGTGTACCCCTAGCATTTTTTTAAAAAAAAAAAGAGGGTGGGCCTAGGTTCTTTTTACAAAACAAGTCAAGTCAATTCCTAATACTCCGTATTTAAAAACAAATAAAATCATGCTAGCTCGTTTTCTATAATTTAAACATTTACTCTTGCTTGGTTTGATAAGTGTTTGTTAGAGCAACAACAACAGCGAGTAGCTTCCCTGCCTCGCCACGCCACATCAGCAGGAAGGGAGATTTGCCTCTCGTGGCTACCCAAATAACCATGCAAGGAGAGGCATGACCGTGGCATTCCATCATGTCTTTTTATTTTTTGTAAATTTTTTTATGAAGTAAAAAGTTATTTTTTGTAGGAAAGTAGAGGTATTTTTTTTTAAAGAAATAAAAAAATATTAAATTAAAACAAATAAAAATGTAAAAAATAGAGAGACTTTTTAAATGATTTTTTAAGGAAGTACTCCGTATAACCTTTTTTATGATAAAATAAATAACTATAATAATTTCAAATAATCAAAATATTTAAAGAAAAGTAAAAAGTGAGAAAAAAGTATTGTCATATTATTTTTCATCAAAAAAAGAAGTTTTTTTAAAAAAAAGTAGAAGTATTTTTATGAAAAAAATTAATTAAATAATTTTAAGTTAATAGAAATATTTTTTATGATAAAATAAACACGTTACATAACTTCAAATAATTCAAATATGGAAAAAAAAAATAAAAAAATAATAAAACCAACGACTTGCCACTGCAAAGCATGCCACTCCACTCCATTGCGGTCTTGCCACTCGTTGACTGGACTATTTTGTATTGGTTGAAATGTTCCACATCAGCGTGTGGCATTCCATTTTTGCTTCACCATTGTTCATGCTCTTAGAATAGACTAGTCCTTAAGGTTCCGTTTCGAAAAGAGGAAAATGACTTTATGAGTTATTTTCTCCATCTTTTATTGTTTCGCAAAAATGGAAATCAATGGAAAACAATCCTTGGTCAAAAGAAAATTGAGGTTAATTTGGTAGATTGTGACTTTCAAATTTTTTCAAGAAGTTAGTTTTTGCCTCCTTTTCTTCTTTGTGTGTTCTCCCTCTTCTCTCTATTCTCATGTCTTCTACCTCATCGTAAGTACTCCTCGCCTTCTTATTTATCGTCTATTCTCCATCTTCTCCTTGTATGATCTCTCCCTTCTTCAGCATCGTATAAACTCTGATCATGAACGAACATAGAACTTCAAGTACGATTCAATGCCCAATACTCTGAATTGTATGAGGTTTACAATTATATTTTCCATTTGTTCATTTACTTTTTACTTTCAATTTTCTTAAATCTATCTTGTTTATTTTACAATGAGAATCAAAATATCGGAAGAGACATAGCCATCTCCACTATTGTACTTCGTATTAGTTAGTAGGTTAAAAATCTTGTTTAAATTTTCTCATTTCTCATTTTCCAATCTTTATTTTCTAGAAATGGACCAAACAGAAATGGATAATTTTCCACTTTTATCCAAACACAAGAGAAGAAAAATGATTTGTGGAAAATAACTCATTTTCTAGATACTATTTTCCATAAGTCTTTTTCGAGGTTTCCAAACGAACCCCAAGTCTAAAAGTGTCATGGTAGTTTCATATGGAACGGCTTCCATGTGATTTCTTACGAATTGAGTCTTCAAAAGACTAACTTCTTGAATTGTAAGCAAGTCTTCTTCTATAAGGAATGCTCCCATGCATGTTTCGGACTTAAGATATCCTAAATTTTTAAATCTATCTCTATAGATTTTTAGGTTAGGGATACAACTATTATTTGTATTCATGACTAATAAGTTGTGCCTTATTCCGTCAATGATACGTGAAATACTATTGTGCTCTCACTAGTCTTCAGCAAGACTCTATCCTTGACTTATCGTGTCCATAACTAGTTATGGTTTTAAAAACCTTTTAAACTCCTTTTAGAAACTTGTTATATCAAAATAAGTAATCTAGTGTTCTTGCCGAGTCTCATTCTAAATGATATATTATTACTGGTTCTAAAGAAGGACTCTCTTTGGCGTAAGTTCATCTATAAACATTATAGTGTATAAGAGTTTCTAAGTGTTCATTTTAATGCTAATATGTTTGCCTAGCCGTCATTTTGGTATAGTTATATAATTTATCTTTAGATTAATCCTATCAGTTAAAGCTTAGTTTATCATAATAATAATTTGTCAGGAGAACTAGATTGTAATCAAATTAAGTTTATTCTCATATAGCTAATGGTATTAAACTTTTGATCATATCAAGAGTATTATGTATTTCAAGTTGTCATTTAACTTGTTTAAATCTTAAACCACTTAAAACAATTGAAATGTATTCCTAAAGGACCATCTTGTTTACATTTCAAATAACTTATATTTGGCTATAAAGATATGTATATCTAACTATACATGCCATTCTTGCAAAGATATCCATATATCTTAAACAAGATTGCACAAACTATTTAACGATTAATGTATGTAGTTGTTATCTAACTTACAGCTTGAATAATGTGGTACAATTGTTGTATTAACTTATTCTTATTAAGCATCTAAGTTATTTGATCACAACATATAGTACTTTTATAAACATAGCAACATTTTGTCATTTATTGAAATAACCATAGTACTTAAAAACAATAAGTAAACATCAATTTGAAATTAAAAACATTGATCAAATAACAAACTAAACTATAGTGCTATTTAAGTTGCAACCCTTGCGCCTTCTTGATCAACACGTCATCTACTCCTCTTCAGTTGCTGCAAGAATTTGCAATTTTATGAGTATCAAATACCTTTGAACATAAGTGAGCCCTAGAGGCCAACTTATAATTCCATATCTATGATATCAAGAATAAAAGGCCCTAAAGATTATTTAAATCGTCTTGTGTGATTTAAACATAGTTTTAGTCCATAGAGTAGGCACTCTAGTAACATAGATGAAAATTACGACGTTCTGATTATGAGATTGTTACAAAGATAAATGTTGCGTCTAAAATATCCTTAGTCTAATACGCAAGAGATGAGATGTAAACTTTATTGATTAAAAAAGCAACATTATATTGTACTATATAGTTTTTCAAACTGTTTACCATTTCTTTTATTTCATAAATTCTAAAAAAAACTACTCCCTTCTAAATTCCCAAATTAAATTGCATATTTACTATTCATAGGGTCAAATTTCATTCACCTTCTTTCCTAATTTTTGTTAGTTATTTGATAAAATAATATAGTCATGTCACCACTAGTTTTGTAGATCTTGATATAACTTTTAAATATGTAATATTTTTTAATCCAACACCATTTTTAAAATAAAATAATTTAAAAATAACTGCAGTCAAACATCGTAAAATGAAATAGACAATTTAAATTAGGATTGGGGAGTATTATATACTCCATATATGCATCTTTGAAAACACTACTCGGTAAAGTCATTACTTAATTCATCCATTTAACATCTACTCGACTACTCCCTCCGTATCTGAGTATTTATTAGATAATATTTTTAAAATATTATGTTATCTAATAGATATATAATATATATTTTATTTAATTTTAGGTCAAATATTATAAATAATTAACCAAAAAAAGTTAAAACTGGATAAATACTCAGGTGGTAGTATTATTTTAATCTATTGTTAATTAAAACAATTTTTGTTATTATTTCATTCAGTGACCATTGATATACAATTTCTTTGTTAAAAATCTAACGAGGATAGAGTGTGTGTGTGTGTGTGTATATATATATATATATATATATATATATATAGACACACACACATACACTACAATAATAATTTACAATTTCTACTTTAGATTAGACTTCAAAATATTTACATTCTCCATTGTGTAATGAATTTTTCTTGTGTCTCAATAAACATTAAATTTCTCCAATTTTTTAAAGGAATATGACTCATACTGCTTCTCTGTCTTCCAAGTGTTATTCCATTTTTCGAGTAGATATATGAATATCACTTATTTATCAACGAAAAAATATGTGCCCACTACTTAAAAATCGATCGCTAACTAAATGAAAATTGTGTTCAATAAATGCAAATGAGTGATTACTATGTGTACCATCATTTCACACACACACAAAATCTTAAATGCTCACTAATTAAAAATGAATTTCTCAAACTTCTCCCTGGTCTTGAGTGATAGAAATCCTACCCACTGAGATTCATGGAGTTCACCGAGATTCAAGTCCCAAGAAGGCGGAAACATTTGACTCTTTGTGCATCATTAGGTTAAAAATTTTTGAACAGGTAATACATTGTAATATAGTGAATAGAACTAATTAAAAACGGTGGAGTTCCCGTGACATTGGAACCACATGTCATGGGATGACCCGAGGGCGCTCTAGTGTCCCGTTCGCAAAATTAATGGTTCCTACCCCCTAACCCCCCAGTAAACCCTCCACCCCGCACCAACCCGAACACCCCCCCCCCACCCTCTTCAATTGCACCCCACAAGTTGATTTTAACTTTGGAATCAAAATTTGACTCCAAAGTCAAAAGCAACTTGTGGGATGCAATTGAAGGGGGTGGGGGTGTCTTCGGGTCGGGGGGGGGGGGGGTTACCGGAGGTAGGAACCGTCAATTTTACGAACGGAGCACCTGAGTGCCCTCAGGTCATCACAAAACATTGCCGGGCAATGTCATGGGAGCCGTATCCAATTAAAAATGAATTGTCCATTAATTTCTTGTGAATGTACAGTATTTCCGCACCTACAATTTGTAAGAAAGAATTTCCCATTTCATCACCGTTATAAGTTGAATTATGGAACCAGCTTTCACGGTGAAATAAAAGTTTTGCGTCAGAATAGAAAACATTTAATACAAGTCACACTTAAATAGATAAGGTTTCCTCATTCCTGGGGATGGAGGCCAGGCCAATGCTAGCAAATGAACTCTATCAATGCCCCCCCACCCCCACCCCCCCCACCCCTACAAGAAGACCGACACGATTGGTGAAGAACCCAACGTCGGGGGTGGGTGGCATCCGCCTCCTCATATCCGCTTCTTAATGACAGCCACCATAGCTGTTTGAGGTCAATAAGCAAAGGCTACACATTGAAAGCCATTTCTTAAACCTTGTTCAATTTAGTAGTCAGCCCTTCGATAGACTTTTTGGGGCTGTATCTCTGAGGGCAATCAATATTGGGAATGACACTGTCATTCAGCAGCTGGAACCTCTTTAAGAGAGAGAATATCATCACGCGGATGTGCTTCTTCAACTTGAACTTCCACTTCGTCCCCAATCTGTTTGCCAATAGACACCCAAACCGATGCTTGTATTCCTACCTGTAAAGAAAATAATCACTAGTTAGTCTTGCATGTTAAAGCCATATATATATTGGTATTCTGTTTAGTTAAGAATTCCACCTCAGTGAAGAGTTACCAAACTTTCTACTTGGAAAGTACCTTCTTTTTTTGAAACAAATCAACTGGTTGTAGATGCTCCCAAGAAGAAGGTAGTAGAGGATACCTCGGTTTCTAATTGAAAAAACCCGAAACCCCATACTACCTTATTTCGTTTTACACTCTTTAAACTGTCTGTGTTTCTTTCAAAAATGAACTAACTTCTAATCAATGCAACTTTTGACGCTCATCATGGGTCATCCAAAAACAGCCGCTCTATGTTTTAAACATAGGGTCACGTTGCATACATCCGACCCCCCTTACCCCGCAATGGGTGGGAAGCCTTTGAGGCACTCGGGATATGTAGTTGTTGTTTAGTTGACCAACAACCACTACCAAAAAACTAGGATAATACCAACTTTGTTGAAATTTGGGGACAAGATGTACACAATATTACCAAGGTAAAAAGAGAGATTGTTCCCACTAGACCATTGATGCATTCATGCATTTACTGCCCAAAACTTTATACTCCGTAGAATGTAACACTATGTTTGGTTCAAGGGATTTGGAAGGAAAAGAAAAGAAAATAGTTTTCTCTCATTTTCTTAACCAAAATGGGAGCATTTTGGTTTTCCTTCCCCTTAGTATATTTTCCCTTGTCATTTTCTTTTCCTTCCACTTTTCCTCTCTAACCAAACATGAAAAATTATTTTCCCTCTAATTTTTTTCCTTTCCTGTTCAAATTCCTTGAGCAAAACATAGTGTAAGAGGCAAGGAAGGATTCACTAATGTTCATTTTGTCGCTCTAAATGAGAATACATCATGCAAGAACAATACTTTTGGGGGGGGGATTGGTGCGGCCTAAGATGCAATCATGGTGGGGCATTAGTAGAAGCAGTTTATTATCCCCCTTTTTTGAGAAATTAACATGTATTACCTCCAACAAAAGTATTGATGCATTCCTGTCTTTGATGAATTTGAGGACAACAGCACGAAACCTAGTATCTTTAGATTGCCTTCTCAGGTACTCCAATACCCAATAACGAAGACTGCTGTTGCAGAGCCTCCTTACAAGTCTGGTTTTCATGTTAATCATAGATGCCATCCCTTCTAACTCTCCCGCTGAGAATGGAAGAGATTCACCTCTAATAAATGCTTTCACCTATAAATTTAAAAAAATCATGAAGCTACATGTGTTGCAGCAGCAGTTCAACCACAGACAAAGACTCTTGCGTATCTGATGTGATGGTCGGTGAGTTATAAATCACGTTGGGGTCGGAATGAAGACATAAAGTTTGTAGTGTTAATTAATTCTAAAAATTTAGTTAATCCCACTTTCTGTGTGGATAAGATGTACGCATCCTTACCCTTGTAAAAAACAAAGAGGTCATTTCCGTTATACCCTTGATGCACTTGATGTATTGATGTTTGTACTACCCAAAATTTTCACAGAAAGTAAGAAGCAAACAAGTTTAATACGTCATTTTGATTTAGGTCATTCCTTATGCGAAGCTCATTATATAAAAAAACTCTTTTAGCTCCTCCCATTGGCAATGGACTCGCATGAAAGATCACACCGAGTCGAATGAATCATATTCCGTATGTACCAATTCATTGTGCCCGCTTTGGATAGACACAAAGTCACAAAGATTAAGAAAGCAAAACAAAGTGGTTGAATCGTTGAGATTTATGCAAAGGAATCACATAAGGTTTTCTATAAATAAAAATAGACACAATAAATGGGGACAGACCAAAGAGGAATATAGGGTGAACAAATTGGGATAGAAAGAGTGTATATTTTCTCCAATGTATATCAAACATAAATCAAGAACACAAAATGTGCTGTTTAACTTGCATTACTGAGTCCAAAAGTAAAAGGAATCAACATAAGCTATCAATAACTTTCAGACAAACGCAGCAAGGTTCATTGTCATAAAGCACCGCAAAGTCACCTGATAATGAGCAAGAAGATCCATATATCTACGTATAGGCGATGTAAATTGAACATATCCAGGAATTCCCAATGCCCCATGACGTATTGGCTTCCTGAAATCCATTTCAGCTGAATGCATGATTCGAAAAATAGCAGAACTTCTAACGGGCCCTTCAGGAAGATGTGCAAATGCAGATTTATCAATATTTGATTGGGGCTGTCCTCTATAGGGCAAAGGTATCAAATTGTAAGAGCCATAAGTGGCTATAACTTCTCCGCAAAGTATCATCATCTCAGAAACGAGTCGCATAGCAGGATCGGACTGATTGCTAACATAAAGTTTCATTGACGGCTCTGGATCATTGGGATTCGTCACCTTTATTCGTGTTTCTAAGGTACACGTGTCTATTGCACCCTGCAAAATCAGTCCAGTTATATCCAGTTCCATGAACAACATCAATAGCTATTAACTTACGGCAAAGCTGAGTTTAGAAGTTGAGTGGTAAAACATTTTGTGATGGTGAGATTGAAAGATTTTATTCTATCTTCTAAAAGTCGTTAAAGATATTAGTTTTAAAAAAATTATAAATATAAATATAGATTTGTTGAGACAAATATTAGAAGATAAAATTAAAACAACACCCCGGTTCATGTGACATTGCCTGGTTCATGTGACATTGCCCGGCAATGTCATAGCATGACCCGAGGCACCTACGATGCTCTGTTCGAAAAAATGAAGGTTTCTACCCCCCTTAACCCCCCCACCCACCCCCTTCAATTGTACCCTCCAAGTTTATTTGACTTTGGAGTCACAATTGTGACTCCAAAGTCAAATAAACTTGGACGGTGCAATTGATGGGGGTGGGGGGTGGGTTCGTGTCGGGGTGGAGGGGGGGGGGGTTTGCCGGGGGAATCGTCAATTTTAAGAAGGGGGCACCGTAGGACTCCCGGGTGATCCCATGACATTGACATTGATAATCAATGTCATGGGAACCGCCCCCTTAAAACAATCAGAACAAAAGCCTATAGCCTCCCGCTGATGCTGTATACCACCAGTGAATTTTTGGCATGTGAAGCCCATTGCAAGGATTAGTACAGTGGGCTGGTAAGATGTTTGGTAAAATGCGGTGGAATTTCAGTGGGTAAGGCAGATGAACTGTGAAATTGCTCTGAACAATTTTGTTAAGGGGCAGTAAATTGAATACTCCGTATTTTACAATAGTACAGGGACTATTCAGATAATCAGATACATTAATGGATTTTTAAATACCAATCAATCTGAACTTCTAAAGTCCAAACTATGGTTCAAAAGCAAATTCTACGTTTAAAATCAACCAAACATACCAAGAATGTCAGGCTCAGAAGTAGGGTCTGGGGATTTCAAACCAAACATGCCCAGTAGAGTCAGAACAAGGGGCTAGGGAGAGTGAGATGAACACATATCTTACCTCCACCCCTAGAAGAGTAGGAGTAGAGAGGTTGTTTCCATGAAGACCCACAGTTACAGAAAATTATGAGGCGTTTTGTACGTCTGAATTATTATACTTTATATTTTCTTTTAAAAGTCCTAACCTGTTTTTGTCGCCACTTAAACCGAAGAGTAGCTGCCTCAGCAAGAATCCTTAACTCTATCTCCTCTTCCAAGTTCAAATAAAGAAGTTCAGATGCACTCTCATATGTGAGCATATATGTTGGTGAAATGATAGAATTTTCCACAGAATATTCTGCAATGCTAATAAACTCACAAAGAAACAACAGGGTTAGGTGGAAAAAGCGCTAATCCAATCTCTGTGAAACATTACCTTTTGATCATTTCAGATATTGAACAATTTCTACACTCCACTTTGGAATGATGAATCACACAAGTTCAATGGGTGATCTAGGTTTCATAATGCATCGGGTAAATTTAACAAACGGTGCAAGAACTTTGAGAGTAATTTCACTTCGGTATTCCAACTTCTCGTAAAAACACACTAACTTAGAGCTTCCTTTCACCAAAAGCTTTTTAGCCCGTTTCCAAGTCAATAGCAGGTTACTATCTGACGAGGATGCCTAAGTGGCTTAAAATAATGATGAATGTACTTCCAACTCAGTCCTTTCTTTTTTGTTCTTCTTCCCTCTTCTTCCTCCTCCTGCCTTCTTATTTCTTCTTTTTTTCTTTCTTCTCCAACAATTTCTTGTTTTTATTGTCTTTTATTTTTTATTTTCCTTGTTCTTTGGTTATCTTTTTTATTCCTTTTCTTTTTTTTTATTTTTTTATCTTTCCTCTTTTTTTCCTCTCCTGAAAATCTGTGCTTTAATTATTCTTTCTTGTTCTGGTTCTCCATTGCCATTGTTGACAGTTTGAAACTCCTCACCATTTCTTCCCCCTCCCAAACAAACCCTACTCCTACACAAAGGGTAAAGTTATTCTCATCTCTTTGTCAGATACATTTTTCCGTTGTAATTTGTGTGGCCAAGTTGAGATTATTTCTTGTGTATTGAATAAGATCTTGAGTTATGGGTGAGCCCTTTTAGTGGAAGTGCGTCTTGTTTTGTTTAAGCACTGCAATCAATGTCTTCAGAATTGTGCCGCCACAACTGCAGCGGCAGATGTCGCAGCTGCGGCGGGGTAATACTTTTGACCCGAGCAACTTGCATTTGAAGAGGGAATTGGCCCAAATCAAGAAAGCTGACAAGGCGCTCAGAGATCCCGGAACCACCTCGTCGTAGCGGTCGCCGCAGGGCTTCTCCAAATCCATGAAGGCAACCAGTGATGTACTGAATTATACTTCCAAATTCAAAACACCATTATTCCCACCACAAAAAAAAAAGAAAGAACAAAAAAGAAAAAGAACGCATAAGAGTAATAGGGAAAAAGATGACAAAAATAAAAATAAATAAAAAAAGACAAATAAAAAAATTGATGACTGCAGAATAAGAAATTGTTGAAGAAGAAAGAAAGCAGAGGGAGGAGGAGGAAGAAGAAGAAGAAGAAAAGAACAAAAAAAAGAAAGGGCTGAGTTGGAAGCAAACCCATCATCCACATAGACACGGTAATCTGCTATTGACCGGGAAACAGGCTAAAAAAACTTTTGGTAAAGGAAGCTCTAAGTTAGTGTATTTTTACGAGAGCAAATAAAGTTGGTATACTGAAGTGAAACTATGCTCAAAGTTCATGCACCGTCTGTGAAATTTACCCATAATGCATCTGTGCTGTTTTTTTATTTTTATTTTTATATTTTTTTGTAAATAGATTGTGCGTAATAGACTCTTAAGTAACAACATGGGTTTTCATTGATATATCTCACAACTTACATGATACATCTAAATTCTTTTGACTTACACACTGCCTTTTCAGACATAAAATGGACCTAACTATTTGTTGTGTGTGTGATGCAAACAAGAATATTATAGTTGCAAATCAGTTGCCCTTGTTAGGATGTCCCAAATTTTCTACCAGATTCCTTTAAAAATAATATTTGTGTGGTTCATATTATTTCTCTGCTCTACATAAACTCCCACCACACAATTTCTACTTTATTAAAAGACAAGACAAGTCAATACAAGAAGAAAACTATGGGACGGGGAAGTATGCATTTTAAGCACAAATTTGTCTTTATTATTAATCAGTAGTGCTCCTAGTAGAGGTAGGAGAATTCATTTAAAATTTCTTGCAAAAACAAAAGTAATCAAGAAGTAATACAGAAACAAAACGGACCAACTATGTGTAATGTGATGTAAAACATGAATCCTAGTTGTAAATCAGCCGTGTGATAGCTAATTTAAAGTCGTGTTAGTCAACAACTTTACATGACTGGTATGTTTGAAAATTTTGAGAATATGGAAATGTGCCAAATTCTCCAAATAAACCCCATCAGAAACACATTGGCAGGTTCTAATAACATACATCTACTATGCAAGTACCTATCAAAAAATTGATGTATAAATAATAAACGTGTGATGGATAACACAAAAAGCTCACCTTCCATCAGAATCCAGAATAACGGATACAGTAACAGCTTTGCACTGTTTCCCTTGCTTAAGACTCATGCCTTGCATGGCCAGCCTCTCAGGAAACATTGGATAAGTAGCAGTTGGCAGGAATATGGAAGTTCCTCTTCTCCTCGCTTCTCTGAAGAGTAACAGAACTATCAAATAGTATCTAAGTAATGACTGGTTTGTAATTAAATTAGCATATAGTTCGATATACTTGTCTATTATGCTCCCTGGCTGAACTAAACTAGTTGGATCTGCAACATGTATCCACACTCGTATCCGGCCATCCTCCAGCCTTGTTGCGCTCAATGCATCATCAAGCTACATGTTTCACACATTGACTAATTTTTTAACGACTTTATGAGTGGAGACAAGTAAAATCAGGAAAAGAGAGTGACATACCTCATCCGCTTCATCAACATCTATTGCATAAACCTTCAAGTGAGTCAGATCTATTCTATCACCCTAAAATAAATAATTTGCCAAAAACAAAGATAATAATTCAATGTCAATATGCCCTTTCAAAGAGTAATGTGACATCAAGATTCTTTTGAAGTTCGTTTTAGTTTATGAGCATAGTGAATGTGTACAAAAAGTGGTTTATCTATATTAAATTAGTGGATATCTGAAGGGGCCTTTGTCCTCAATTCTTAGAGAGAGAGAGAGACTCATGGGATAAATGGTTCGCACTGTATATATTAATCACATGATACCTCATCCATGTCAGTTGGTTCTAATAAAACACTATCCGCAGCCAATACAATATCATTTGGATGATCAGTAGGAAGGTTAAGTTTTAGCAAATCAAGATTGATATGCAAAGGGAAATATCCAATATCCATAAGAAGAGTAACTGCTGCCGAAGCTGTTTTTGCCATGCCCATGGCCTTCAGGATCTGACAATGTAAGAAGAAAGAAAAATAAAGAAACCTAGTATGAGTGTGTTACAGCCTTACAGGTAGAAACGTAGAGTGCCAATCAGAAAATGGACTCAAGTGTTAAGATAAAATTGGCATCCCAAAACTATCTCAACAGATCATCCCCAAAACAACTTAAGATTGAATAAATAGATAACCATTGCAATAATAAAAAGATCAGGAAATAAATCATCTCACCGCCCCAGCCATTTTCTTTCGTTCATCATTGATACAATTATCAATAGCAAATTCTTCAAGAGACTGAATTCTGAGCCAATTTTTCATTTCACTCTTCCACACAGACTTTGGAGGTTTAGCATGCGGAGGCCTCTCTTTTATAGATTTTAGCAACTGGACAAACTCCTCAATTTCCTTCTGATCAGCCTCTCTAGCAAGCTTCCTTTGTAAAAGTTCATCTACCTTTTAAAAAATATGTATTTAAACATGGAGTTAACTCTAAGAATGTAATTCGAACCCAGAAAAATGAAAAGGTAAAACATAATGCACAATGAGTAAGGCCTATCCCAAATATGTAAACAACATACATGGCATATATAAGCAGCTTAGCAGTACAACAGAATGAAACAGACGTTCATTTTAACTTCTTTAACTTACTAATTATCAGAAGTTACCCTTGAAAACATTTAGTCATTATTAAAAAAACGGAGTACCTGCCTAGGCGGTCGAGGTCCATAAATAGAATGAGAACATTTAGAGTTAGACCCCATCAATGTGAAGTATATGTCATCTCTAGATAACAGCAGGTGGGCACAATAGCTCTCAAGAGGTTCCGCACTACCAAAAATCATCTGTTAAGATAGGATAGTCATTAATTGAACAAATGATTCAATTACAAACAAATGAAATGCACACCTCAGCCAAGTCCTCCACCGTGACAGATTTATTATTCTCAAGAAGCTCGTTCCAAGCAAACTCAAGTAGTGCTGGATCCTTTCTTGAAAAAACAAAACAGAGGTAAGCTTTCTTAAAAAACTAGAGAGGGCAAAGTGCAATTTATACTTTCTAGATTGCACAAGTAACAACCAGGTTATCACACGCTTTCTGGACAAAGTTTGATATGCCCATGGGGTCAAAGTCCTCAATACCAGGAACAATAAAAGTAACTTGTTGTGGTTTAATTGAGGTTGTTACACCGTTCTGCACCATTAGAAGTAAAAATAAGGATCAGCCCAAATACTTGGCGAGACTAATAGCCACATCTTATGCATCTTGTAAACCTGATCGAAGACCATCCAATTCTTTTTCCCATCACGTCGGAGAGCAACTGCTAGCAATACCCTTTCAGAGTCTTTCTTGAACTCCAGCAGCAATCCCCTTCGTATTGTTAGCTTTTCTACTTTGTCTTCAAAAAGCTCAGCAGTGCTTGTTAATCCCAATCTGCATGAGGCTATTAATCATTTTGGAAAAAAGGATACATGAAACTAAGTTGACCACATATGTTTATTCAACTTTGCCTTAAAGAATATAGCTGTGAAACTTTCATATTGACATAATAAAGATCCTCCTTCAGCTAAAAAAGATATACTCGAGCATGTATTAACAGTCACAGCATAAGAGTATCTTGAGTGATAAAAGCCCAAAAGGTAAATTTTACATCTCCTCATCAGTATAAATTTTTTGCCAATTCAGAATCATGTAGCAGATTGTTGTCTACTATTATGTCTTTGCAGATGATTCCAAAGCAAAACGTTGTCTATGTCTCTACAACATTGCAGGAGTTTATTTGCATCTTTAAAGTAATTGCCATGTGCGTTTGATTTTATTCAAATTCAACTCAATCCAATGAGCTTCAACTCTAAAATTATTGTGGTTTTTAGTGAATGACGATTTGCAAAATAGAAATATATTTTGATATAAACATAGAGGAAAAATCCAATGACAGAGAAGTACTCGGTAGAAGCAGGAATTTTCCATTGTTTGCCCATCGATTGGAGCTCTTCCATGACGGTTTCAAATAGGCTTTGGAACGAGTAGCTCCGAACCCTATCATGTCCAAGAGAATAAGGTTTGCAACGGGGAAGTGAAACTCGAGAGTGCAAATTTAGGTGTCTTTGAAACCGCCGTGTCCTGAATTGGAGCTCCGTACAGCAGCACCTGTAGTTCGCCGCCAGAGACGGCGGAGAATACGTTACGGAGCGGATAATCATGCAGCTGTTCATGGCGCGGGCTGCCATTCGACTAAGTCGCATCATGCGCCTTACATCTTATACTGAATGTAGTTAGAGTGATGCTGATGGTAATTGTACACCAAGTTGTACCCCTCAACCACACCTTTTACATCAAGTCATGGCTTTAACCCCACTTTTTTTTTAGGATAATGCTACTTGCACCCCAAAAATACCCCAAATTGTACCCCAAAATAAACCCCCCCTTACACGTGCAAGTACCCCCCACACCTGCGAAGTAATCCCCCACCCCATTTCCCCCACCTAATTCCTCTGCCTCCTCGCCTAATTCCTCTTCCCGTGTACGGTTCATGTCGTCTTCCGCCGCGTGTGGTTTCGCCGCTGCCTTCCTCGCCTTTGCCCTCCTCGTCTCTTCCCTCCTCGCCTCTGCCACCGTCTCCGATTGTGACCTCCTCGCATAGCCTCATCGTCTCTGCCGCAGGTGCAAGCTTTTGTCCTCATCTACGACGCCGATTGTGTCCTCCTCGTCTCTGCCGTCGGTGGTCAGGTAATTGCTCCTCCTTTTTCAATTGCACCTTTTTGCTCTAACATTATTTACATTAGTGAAACCCTAAATGCAAAGCTATGTTATTTTCTACTTATTTGCTGCCAAATTCAGATATGCCTGGACAATTGTTGATTTTTGTTAACAATTTAAAAATTTCTTGTACTAATTTTTTGAAACTGCCTGTGCAAAGGGGTTTTTACACCTACACTTACTGTCCGTGTGCTATTGTTTTTTGTTCAATACACCAACACTAAATGTCTGTGTCATACTCATCCCTTGATAGAATATGTAATTCATACTAACATTTTTTAATAGGAGTTCAAATATAATCCTAAAATAACAAAATCCTATTTGTTTAAGAAAAAAATAGTCATATAAGGGGGTTTTTACATGTTATGTTCAATACACCTACACTTACTGTCCGTGTCCTATTGTTTCTCTTCAATACACCAACACTAATAGTCTGTGTCCTACTCATCCTTTCATATAATATTTAACTGATACTAACATTTGTGTCAATGGAGTTCAAATACAATGCTAACATTTTAACTGATACACCTAACATTTTTTGTTTGAAATGTAGGTTTCTGTACAATGGCGTTGCAAATGGTAAATGCAGACCACTTCCAAGCACAGTATACATGCTATTCAGAGCTTCAGAAATCAGTTGACATCATCAAAAAGAAACTCACACCTTTAGACCTGGGTCGCTTCAAGAAGGAGTCCCCTTTCGGCCACCTACTTGAGTCCCCTCCATTGCAATTTTCAGGCCAAATCATCCATCTGTTGCTTGTGCACCTCACAAGAGAACATGTAGATGATGAACTACGCTTTAACATAGGTGGTTCGATTTTAAAATTTGATTACGGGGAATGGTGTCGCATTATTGGAATGCCCTCTACCAAGCTTTATGGAGAGGATGGTGGCGATGAGGATGAGGATTCTGCATTGGGGAGAATTCGGAAAAAATTTTTGGGCAATGATAAGGGGAAAACAACATTTGCGCATGTGCGCAAATGTTTTCATGCTCTTGATGAAGAAAATGGGGGTGATGAAGTCTTTCAGTTTGCTAAGTTGTTTTTTGCGGAGTCCGTGTTACTAGCTAGAGTCAAGGGGACCGGTGTTGAAATGTCTCACCTTCACCTCTTAGGTAGCGCTCACAAGTTCAACGCTTATCCTTGGGGGTGGGAGTCATATCTTCTCACGGTACGCCATCTAAAGGCAGCTATGGAGGGGCAACCGGCTCGTTTCTTGTCAAAGCAAGCTGAAAACCCCAATATGAAGACATGCAAATTCTCTTTCTATGGTTTTCCCTATGTGTTGCAAGTGAGTATGTCCGAATTATAAATCTTTTACACTATTTTATGTACTCCATTTACTTGAATAATAATTATAAATATTTTTGTAATACTATTAGGTGTGGGCTTATGAGCAATTCCCACAACTTAAAGGAGTTTTTGCAGACTTTCATGAAGAAATAGTTGGTTGTCCATTTCTGAAATGGGGGTCAAAAAAGTTCCCTCAATACAACCAACTAAAAGAGCTAATTCTTGGCAAGGATGAGGGTAACATATCAAAGAAACTGGTTGGTGATACATGAGCATATATCTTCTTTAATTTAAATACCTGGTGGTAGTGACTTAGATTTATGTAATGTACTATTCTTTTGCAGGAGTATGCGATACATCATCTTGTTTCAGAGGTGGTGCATATGCGAGAGGTTATGGATGCAAAGTTTGGAGACCTTAAAGTCAAGATACAAACGCTTTCTAAGAAAGTAGATGTCTTGTTAAAGAAGAAAAAGAAGAGGACACACAACACCACACAAGCAACTGAGGAGGCGGAGGAGGACGAGGAGGTGGTTGGAGATTCCGATCATGAGCAGGTTGAGGAAGACATTGAAGAAGAGGAGGTGGTGGACATTGAAGAAGAGGAGGTGGAGGATGAGAATGAGGGGGTGGATGAAGATAGTGGACATGAAGAGTGTAAGGAAGAGGTCGGGGTGGAAGTGGAAGAGGATGAAGAGAGCATTAGACAACGAAACAATCGAAAGCGGTCGAGGGTCGTAGATGATGGAGAACCGTTTGAGGAAAAGGAAACCGAACTTCCAATGCCATCACCACCCGGAATTGAGGTATTAGTACATGAAAGTCATTTTCTTCATATTTATGTGTGATTTTCGACCGATGTATATCTCTTTGTGTTTTTGGAATAAACAGTTTTGCCTTTTTTAGGAGAATCCACAAAAAGATTTGGAGGAAGCCACGGCGGAGGTGCAAGGGGTAATTCTTGGGGTATGCCATCCCTATAATCATAAGTCTAAACCTTTTCACCATATAAGCAATGTATATTGAATAGACATTATTATGTAGCTTTATGAGGACAAACTTATTGATACCCAAGAGTATGCCAGACAAGTGTTATCCCCTGGTCCTGTAGAGTTTGTTTATGAGCAAGTAAGCCACATCCAATATTTAAGTTTTACAACTATTTACTTTTGTTTTCTAAAAAACTTATGTTTTTTGTCTACTTTGTGTATGTAATGGTGACCAACATATAGGCTGAAGACGTTGAACCTCCAACGAAAACCATTGCAGTTACGAAGGTAGATTTTTTTTGTTATCTTTTACAGTTAACTGTACTTGCAACTTTTATTATATAAGGTTTCACTTTTTTTACTTATAACCATGGCACATCTTACTTTGACATTAGCCTTTGGCCCGGGAAACTAGGCTACGGAAGAAATCTCGGTACTGTCTAAGCCCGTACATCAATCCAACTATGGCTATGAATGTCTAAGTACACTGCAATCCTCTAGCCATTCAAGTCACCCCTAGGGAATGGGAACAATTCAAATGTTGGGTTGAAGAAGAAGATGAGAAAAATCCAAATAAACTCAGGCTGCAATGTCACTATGTTCACGAGGTTGACCGTCATTTCTTCAGGACTTTGTTGGGCTATGATTTGTGGTTAAGCAGTGATGTAAGTTTTGAAAAATACAAGTGTATGCTTTACAACAGTGCATTAGTAATTTAGTATCTTCATCTAATTTTTGTCTCTCGTATTAGCATGTTCAAACCATTGTTGAGTTATTGATGGCTGGGGTTGATCTCATTGGAGTGCAAGGCCGATGTTTATATGGTCCAATGTTCACGGTATTTATTACTAAAAAAATTACATATTAGTTTTACATGATAAGTTCTAATTTTTTTTATAGTATAATCTCACCCAGAAAAGTTCTTCGGACCATGCTTGGCTACGGGATAAGATGCTACGGAAGTTGGACTGGACACAAATGGAAAAGGTATTTTCTTGATGTAAATAACTGTAGGTGCAAAACTTATGAAACATATTTGCACAGTCAATGCATGCTAGGTTAAAGAACTGGTTCTTACTTATGTGTTCTGTGAATGAATTTATTTCTGTAGGTCTTCATGACTATCCATGCTAGAAACCGGCATTGGGTTTTAGCAGAGCTTGATTTCCCCAATGCGACTATTTGGGTATATGATTCCTTGAAAAATGCACAGAGCAAATCCTATGTGCGTCCAATCCTTGAAAGACTACCTCCCCTTTTTCAAACTGTCAAAACTACCGAGCAACAGAGACGTACCCAGGCATGGACAGTGGAGTTCCCCAAGGATGTCCCCCAGCAGTCTGATGGAAATGCGTGTGGCGTTATGATATTTGCATTTGCAGAGTACCTATTGGCCGGTTTGCCACTACTTCCTGACTGCACATACGAACATGTGGACGACTTCCGTAGGCAATATGCAGCACGTATATATCGGAAGACAGTGGCCTAAAGATTGTGGAATATATATATATTTTATTAACGCACAACTATGACGGCTTATCTCACCTTGCTAATATATGAAAGGCATTTTTTTAGCCTTGTATAGATTACTCTATGTATGAATATGTATTCATGCATGATCAAACATATAATTTTTTGTTTCCATGACATCTATGAGTGCTGAAGTTGTAAGTTTATTATCTCAATCAGTGTTGTTGTATTGAACAAAATCCTTATCCTAAAGATATTCAATGTCGGTGGTGTTTTTTATGAAATTAAAGACACATGCACTTAGTGTTGGTGTATTGAAGCAAAATAATTGCACATAGACATTTAGTGTTGGTGTATTGAAGAGAATCAAAGGAAGAGTATGCCACAGACATTTAGTGTTGGTGTATTGAACAAAAAACAATAACACACGGACAGTAAGTGTAGGTGTATTGAACATAGCATGTAAAAACCCCCTTATATGACTTTTTTTCTTAAACAAATAGGATTACGTTATTTTAGGATTATATTTGAACTCCTATTAAAAAATGCTAGTATGAAATAAATATTCTATCAAAGGATGAGTATGACACATACATTTAGTGTTGGTGTATTGAACAAAAAACAATAGCACACGGACAGTAAGTGTTGGTGGTTTATTTAACTAAAGCAGTGCATTACTACAGCCTGACATTAAGCATAGCATAACCAACTACCAGCCTAACATTAACCAATGCTTTTTTTAACAATACAAGAGCACACACTCAGTAACACAACAAAACATATCCACTTCCACCCCGACAGTAAGTGTTGGTGTATTGAACAAAAAACAATTACATCAACATGTTAAACTGTTACATGGCAAAACTAGTATTTACATAGTGTTCAACTTGCCCAAAAAAAATATGTTTATTTACATCATCTGTAAGTAGTGAATACAAAATATTACATAGTGATACTTACCAAAAAATGTGTGAGCAAATGCATAGCAAAATGTTAACAAAAAAAGATGGGCCATCTACCGATTCATAGCCTGAGATCAAGATTTGGGCAAGTTAGGTCATAGACACCATCTTCTCCCGGCCAATCCCACGTCGGCATATTTTCACAACCTATGTCACCAACGCATGTAAAAAGGGTTGTGGATGGCTGTTCAGCGTTTCCCCGCTTGCTCTCGTTCACCTTACGTTGTTCACTACTTTTTTTCTTACCGTGATCATCTCGAATCTTCTTGTCTTGCTTTCTTTTCCTGTTTTTTGTCTCGAAAATAGATTTTAGCCTATTTTTCTTGGGGGCCCCTTTTCGTTTTGAATAAGTAGGGTCCAATATATCTTTGGTCAAAGTTTTGTCCAATTCCATGTTCTCGGGAATATGTTCGTCACTTGCCTTTCTCAGAGATGGGATAAGCATTTGTTTATCGATCCAAGACACAATATCTTTTGTGCGTTCCTCATCATCAGCTGCGATCTGGGCAAGTTCTTGGAACTTTGCACAAAGCATGTCATACCTCCTTTGCTCAACTGTACGGGGCAATCCATCATATTCCATCCGAACAACTGTGTAACTCCTCTTAATATCTCGCCGCCATCTACTGAGAATATACGTATCTGGAAGGACTTTTACATCGTTTTGGATTAGTACGCACAAGCAATGCCTGCAAACATTAAAAACCATTAAGTAAAAATTACATAAAACAAAAAACTAACCTAAAGACGTGGTAATACATACCTGCAAATCGTTCCTCTGAATTCAAAAAGATGACATTCACATTTTGCAAAATTTGTTTCCCTGTCGAATTCAACCTTAAAGTTCTTCCGTTTGTGAAATCCCTCTCCAATTACATCTTCTCCTACCGTATACAAGGAACCATTCGCATGACTCATAATGTGACAATACATCTTTCCAATCATTTCTGTTTTCAATTCTTGGAACTTGGATATAGTGTAGATCGTTTGGATCTGCTTCTCGATGGGATATGCAGAGGCATATGGCAACGTCTTTGCAAATGATAATGAATCAGCTAAGAATTCTTTTTCACACTTGTTCCTCAATGCACGCTCATATTGTTTAACAAATTGCATCAAAGTTGTTTTTGAGTGCACATACCCATCAAAAAAGGCATTCATGCTCTCACTCCTTTGTGTAGACGACATACCTGCAAAATAAAAATAAGAGTTAAATTCACCATATTACGTATCTCTCTTTTTAAAAAGAAACCAAACTTACCTGCCCAAAATGTGGTTCGCAAATAACATGGTACCCAACGTTCTTTTTCGACAAATAGTAGGTTCAATCAATCATTATTTTCAAGCCCATATTTCACGATCATATCTTTCCAACCATATTCAAATTCATGCTGGTCATGAACATCATATACTAAATTACTTAAAGTCCATAGAATCTTGTCTCTAGCCTCATGCTTTGCAAACTTCACTGGGCCTTTCTTCAAAATATGCCACAAACACCATCGATGTTGGGTTTCCGGGAACACAATCTTAATTGCAGCCTTCATAGACTTGTCTTGGTCTGTGATGATACCCCGTGGGGGAATTCCACCCATACACTCAAGCCACGTACGAAAGAGCCAAACAAATGATGGAGTCTCTTCGGTGCACACCAAACCGCATCCAAGTAGAATAGATTGACCATGGTGATTCACACCAACAAAAGGAGCAAAGGGCATGTCATATTTGTTAGTTAAGTATGTTGTGTCAAACGTTATAACATCCCCAAAGTACTTATATGACTCTCTTGATCTCTTATCAGCCCAAAACAAATTTTTTAAACGTGATTCTTCATCTAGATCCATACTATAAAAAAACCATCACATTGTGCTTGCAATTTCTGAAAATAAGCTTGGATTGCCATGGCTTCACCTGCACATATTTTAACTCGCCTCACTTGCTCCATGTAATTCCGGCAATCCTTTTCAAGAAAGGTCAAGTGGTCATAACCCCCTGCTTCAACAACAGTCGAGTTCAAGCTTTTGTGAAGCGGGATCCCTGCAGCATCAATCACCTCAAGACGTCTTTTAACGTGGTTAGGCACTTTCCTATTACAACGCCATGTACGAGCTTTGCTTGGGCTTAGCCCATGATTATGCTCTAAATTAACAACCGAAATGGTGCACGCACCTTTTATATCGACTGTGGCAGTGATTCGGGCTGTGCAACCCAACTGCATTGTGGGTTGTGCATTTAGATTCTTTTTACTCCGCTTCTCCCGATTACCCTCTCTACCACAAGTCATTGTCACACTTCGTGTCATCCCGTCATTTCCTTTTCTAGAGCCTCTTTTGCAAATTGGAAACCCCTTTTTTTAGCATATGCATGATAGAAATTATATAGTGCTTCGTAGTTTTTGAAACGCATACCGACCGCTGGCGTTGCATCCACAACGTTGAACGACTCACACTCTTGTCTTTGCTGTTGGTCGGAATTATTCTCAATCAAGGATACATTACATTGTCCCATTAATCCATTATCAATCACTTCATCTTCACCGTTGGCGTCAACATGTGTTTCCAAACCTACACACAGAGCAGTACATGTTAACTATTTCATTTTCCACGTACATATTCTGTCTGTGCAAGCTATCCGGGACAAAGTTGCACCTACAAAATCTGTCTGTGCAAGCTATCTGGGATGAAGTTGCACCTACATAATCTGTCTGTCCATTGCAATCCTTGTCTATTCAGCATTTCATAAACAAGCCCCTATGTACAACTTACAGTTTATGGTGTTTGCACTAGTCCCCACTGCCCCCTGAACATTCAAGTCTCCCTCTTCTTCTAACAACGTAATGAAAGTAGTTGCATCACGTACATTCGTTATACGTGCAAATGAAACTGCAAAGATTGAAAACCACATTTATTACTCCATAAATTATATCTTAAAAAACACAAAGTATTTTTACACGACTCTTATACACTAAAGAACTTACTGGGATGTGGGTTCAATATTACTCCATCACCACCAAAGTCACACATTTCATGTGCTTCACATTCACCTCTTAAAAAGCCCACCAAAGCAGGCTCAATTCCCAAATTCTCAACCCCTTCATATACGCCTAACATCAACAATTACAAAATTACTTTAAAACTCATATAAATTAATGGTCACGTCCAATATATGCATGTCATTACTTACTACTGTTGTTTTCAAAAATACTCATGAAACTACTTCCGACATCCAAGTTGTCATTGCCCTCTAAAATGCCTGCACGTAAAAAATACAACTTTAATCATGCTAACATATTGCACGTATTGATGGTGAAAGCTACACCACATTGCACAGATATATTTTGCTTGTGCAACACTTAACTGAAAAGAGAGGATAACTGCCCAGCCTTTACAATTGATGTAGGTTAAACCCAAATCTAACCTCATTCCACAGACATATGTTCTGGGGCAAAAACATATACAACTAAAACCAAAGAATTATGATCCAACCTGACATTGTATGTAGGTGATACCTACAAACTGCCTTATTGAACTGACATAATTGTTGGTGCAAAACAATTACACCTGAAAGCAGATAATAATTGCCCAACTAGGTCAAACCTACAGCGTATCTCCTTGCACACTCCTAATTGCTGGTCCATAACTAAAAGCATATAATAAATTCCCAACAACAGCTTTCAATTTTATAAGAATCCTATGTCTAATGTTATGCAGAGAATGTTTCTGAAATTATTGCTAGTAAATTAACCATAACCAACACTTCTTTAAATTCTAAGAATCCAGGGGTAAAAAATCTTTTCAATGAACCATCTCTTTCTACCTGTCTATAACTAAACTGTAACATAACACAAACATATAGTGCTAGTGCAATAATAAATAATCACCTGCTATAATAGGAGATGTCGGCGTGGCTTCATACATTCTCCCGTAGTTAAACTTCGAATCTGAAATTTTACTTGGAAATGCATCGGCGGCCTTGGCTCATCTTTCTTCAAATCTCGCGCCTTGGTCCTTTGCTCTTCGTCTTCCCTTTCTCCGATGATGCTGAGTAGCCGTCAGGCGGCTTCCCTTTCTCCGATGATGCTAGCACTCCTATGATGCTGGATTTTTTTCCGCGCCAAATGAGAAGAAAGAAGGGGGAAAATAATCGGTGGGTGAGAGAGGAGAGAGGAGAGAGACAAAACAGAGGTATGGGGTGGGATTGGGTGGGATTTAGTGGTATGTAGGGTGGGGGTATATGGGGTACACCACTGGGGTACAAAGTGGTGTACCCATAGCACGATTGTTTTTTTAAATCTATTTTCATATTCCTTTCCTCTATTAATTACCTTTTCACCTTTTTTTTGGATCGTCCAAAAACTTATTTTCCATTTTTTATTTTGACAATTTTTTTTAATAAATGTGTCATTTTATTTCTACTTTTTATCTACACTATTTATTTTATTTTATCACATCAAGGATAAACATAGAAAGTCTTTACACTTTTTAATTTTTCATAATCTTAGTGTCAAGTCGAAATGAGTGATGGTGTTAATTGTTTTGACCGGCTTATCATTTTTACTGTGTCAAAATGATAAACGAACCTAACAATCACCAAAAATACAAACAAGTTATTTTTGACATGGAATCCCAAATCGAGAGAAAGTCAACGGGGCTTTTTGGCGGCACCATACCAACGAGGAGATTTTATTAATATCGGGGGTTTGACATTGTACATAATAATGAATTTGTAACCATTAATCAAGCTTTTTAGCTCTATAAAGAAGAAAATAATACAAGGAATATTTTCTAAATAATGTGAGAGAGTATAACTAGATGGTAGTGTAAGAAAAATATAGAAATTGGCCTCCTCCATGGGTGGCCCAGAGGGTGTGTAAAGTGGTCAACCGCACAGGGCCCCTAAAATTTTAGGGCCCCATACTTTTAAATTTGTTAATAATTTTAAAGCAAAAATATTCTAAAAAAATAAAATATGGCCCAAAATGTAAATTTAGGACCGGACCAATTTTGTTTTTTCATTTTTTGGGGCCAGCACTGGCATCCTCTATTATCATCAGTGGTGGAGATAAACATGGTAAGGAGTAAATGGTGGAAGTATCTATGGTAGTGAATGGACTATGGGGATGTTATCATGGTAAGTATTGATTATGAAGATAGTTATGGTAGGTGAGTTGATAATGGGAAGTGATTACGAAGTATATAATTGCATAGTTATATTAATCCATACTTTATTTAAAAAGACATAGAGTCAATGTTTCGTTTTCCCGCCCAAAGACTATGCCAATTACATATGGTAATGTGAAGTAAAATAGTAAGTGTCCGAAATTATAGTACTATAAAATTTACGTTTTATAAGTATAATTATTATATTATATTTATAATAATTAACTGTCATAATTATTTAAAATTACCATTTTTAAAATAAGGAAATAAAAATCTTGAAATTAACATTTTTAAAAATTTTCTCATTTAATGATAAAAATTTAAAAGTATTATACTTAATAATACTGATTATTATTAAAAATGGTAATAATATAGACCGACGTAATTACGAATTAAATAAAAAAAGTAATTTCAGGATTTTTATTTCTTTACTTTAAAAATGGTAATTCCAGTCTTAATTTTTCTCCTTTTATGATCAAAATTTAAAAGTATTATATTTAATAAAACTTATTATTATAAAAATGGTAATAATGTAGATCGAGTAATTACGAATTAAATAAAAAAGGTAATTCATTAAGACTGATTATTATTAATAGGCAAAAATTATTAACAAAAAATATTTATAAACTTTAATACACGCCAATCAATTCTATTAAAAACGTTTGTATGATTATTCTTACCATAATTATATAATTATATGATTACCGTGTGACTAGGTTATATAAAAAACGTGTGTATGATTATACTATAATATAATTATGGTAAGAATAATTATACACACAGTTTCGAAAAAAATTAATATGGTAAAACCCTTATAATATTTATATTTATATTTATATTTATGTTTAATAGCAAGAAAGGTAATAACCAAAAAGTGTAATAATTATTACTCGGTGGAATTATTACCTATATAAATGATAAGTGTCTGAAATTATAGTGTCCATTTTTAACCCATGCACGAAGTATGTCCATTACATATTTACATATGCCAATTGTGAAGTTAAAATGGTAGGGGTACGAAATTATATTAATATAAAATGGTAATTGTGAAGTTAATATAATTATTTTTTGATAATAATTAACTGTCATTTTTAAAGTTTCTGAAATTATAATAGAAAGAAATGTAAGTTATAAAATTGGAAAGTGTAAGTTTTTATTAAAATTGGAATCCTACATATTATTTTAATTATAGTAATTTTAATTAAAATTGTATGTTACGTGTGATTATCATGTCAAATTAATTATAGTAATTAAATGTTAATTACTATGTCAAATTAATTATAGTAATACGTGTGATTACCGTGTCAATTTAATTATAGTAATTAAATGTTAATTTCTATATAAAATTAATTATAGTAATTTTAATTAAAATTGTATATTACGCTATTAATGAAATCTAATATTACGTGTGATTACATAATTGTATATTAATTACTGTGTCAAGTAAATTATAGTAATTTTAATTATAGTAATTTTATAATAGTAATTTTATAATGGCTATATTTTAATTATAGTGACTATATTTTATAATGGCTATATTTTACTATATTTTAATTATACTAATATTAATAAAAAAAGGTAATAATTAACCAAGGTATTAATTATATAACTGTGTGACTACATAATTGTATACTCCGTATTAATTACCGTGTCATTTTAATTATAGTAATTTAAATTATAGTAATTTTAAATATAATAATTTAAATAATTTAAATATAGTAATAGTAATTGTTAAGTATTTAAAGATGGTAAGAATTTAAAGTGTCCGAAATTATAGTAATATAAAATGGACTATAACTACTGTAAGAATTAAATATCCTTTAAATATATATATTTACGTTTAATAGCGAGAAAGGTAATAACCAAGAAAGGTAATAATTAACTTTCATTTTTAAAGTGTCCTAAATTATACTAGCAAGAAAGGTAATAATCATAAAAAGGTAATAATGTATTAATTATATAATCGTGTGACTACATAATTGTATACTAATTACCGTGTCAAATTAATTATAGTAATTTTATAATAGTAATTTTATAATGACTGCATTTTAATTATAGTGGCTATATTTTATAATAGCTATATTTTAATTATAGTAATTTTAATCAAAAAAGGTAATAATTAACCAATGTATTAATTATATAACCGTGTGACTAGATAATTGTATACTTCGTATTAATTACCGTGTCTT